CGTCATTGGCAGTACTGCGGATGGTATGCAAATTAGAAGCGAAAGGGGGACATTAAGGAGACGCTCACAAGGGAACAGTTTTTCCTGTCGTTAATGCAAGAAGGGAATCAATCATCTTATCAGCATGCGAATGTGTTGGACTCTGCGAGCAAGTTTGTGTAGTCAAACGCACCATATGTCCGCGAAACTTAAGCATTTCGTCCGCATCTCTTGAAAGCTTTCCGTCCTCAGCAAGCGTGCGCATATGATGTACACAGGCAGCACTGAAGGCTGAAGAAGTTTTTCCAAACATCACTACAACCCGCCGCGTGAGGTAGAGAAACACGAGTGCTAAAATCTGCGCACGAACCATAGCGCAAATATCCCAATATCCAGCAGGAAGCTGCATTCTCAATCGAAGTGTTGGTAGCAATACAGGCCTGATTTGCCAACCACAAGGATTCTGCCCACAACTGCCGAACAACTGGTTCTCTCCTGAACCCGAAATGACGCATATCGGGTATGACGGAGGACTTGAGAGGTGAGACGCTATCGAGGATTTGGGATTCCTCAGGACCAATTTCGATTGTCCCGAGAATGAAAGGATCCGTGGAACAAAGAGCAGAGCATGTTAACAAACAATATGTGAGGACACGGTCTTGATATGACAGAGAATGTAGGTCCCATGCATGGAGTCGTAACTTCATTTCTAGCTGCGACAGCGGTATCATTGGATTTGTGGTTACTGGATGTGGATTATGGGGTACGTTTCGGAGCACTATTATGAGGGGAGAAAGGTTAACCAACAAATCCCAACGAACAAACCCCTGTACGCACTTCGCATGAGCGCTTTAACGACCTCCACTGATAGCTGTAAAGTTGGTGGGACTGGAGAAGGCTCATCTAAATTATTGGAAAGGAACATGGCCGAGGCCCATTGTTGTACGACAACCACTGTAGATGATTCCTCATTAGATTGTGTGGGGGTTGAACAAGTTGTTTGGTCGTTGCAGTTGTTTGAACTGGAAGTAGTGGCCTTAGCTGCGGAATGCACAACTTCCCCTTTTGTCCTTCGCTTTCGACGGACAACCGGTGTTGTAGTACATCTTCAAACGAGAAAGTCCAGCAGGAATGTTGACGGAATTTGGAATAATACTCACTCGACTCCTTTCTCTACACAGCGAGGACATGGCCCGTTTAATTGAGGATGGCAGAGCACACGACGAGCTTTACAATAATCGCAAGCAGGAGGTTTTTTGCGCTGCGAAGGGCGATCTGGAGACATCTCAAGATAAGCCCTTATAGTGACATTTGTTGGGAATTGTGAGGGAAAAAGACAGGAAAAGGAGTATTATAATTCAACATGAAGAAGCAGCGCGGATCAACACATGACATTGTAATCCCAGCGCTCAGATCCCATTTTCAATTTAGCGTTCAGAATCACTGAACGACGTCTGCTCTGGATTTGCGTCTATTCGCGTCACTTCCGGCATGAGCAGATAAGTTTACAAAGATTGCATTCCAAGTTTTACTCAGCAAGTCGGAGCAAATCCAAATCTCATGATACAGTGGAAAACTGTTGAATAAGCGTGCTCTGACATTCAATATTCAATTTCAGATCAGTGAACGCAAGAATTATCAGAATATACAGGGTCAGGGTGATAGTATAGAAATACAGTGGTAGACTTGGAAGCGGTACAAATAATAGAGCATAAACTACGATCGATGGTCCCAGTAGTAATTGGGCGGTTTTTGTGACGGGTGTTCAGGAAAGTATTCGTATTCGGCTCGTGAGGATCTCGTGGAGCTCAATATCGCGGAGGATGCTGAAGGTAAGGGCTACAAGGGCGGTTCATTTGATGAAAACGTCTAAAATTCATACGAAAAATACCTTGGGTATCGTGGTACTTTTGAAATCCGGAACCTCAACCGCCATATTGGTCAATTCCTTCGTTTCCTTCAAAGTTGTGGATGACGAAGAAAAGGGACGCGCTGAAGTAGAACTACGACGACGCTGCGTTTTCTCAAGATCCTGAGTTATTTTCGAAGCGAGACGTCGCCGGCGACGTTGAAAGATTGCAGCAGCGATTACAGAGAGGAAAATGACAACTAGAAAATTCTCAGGTCAGATATGAAGTTGTGCAGGACACATGAAGACTCACCTATGCCAATTATTACTCCAATCTCCCAGGAAATACCCAAATTGCTGATGGAAATGTTAGTCGAGGGGAAGGATCAAGAATACAAATCAACCGCGTACTCGTTGTTGGTTGTAGACGTTGCTTGAGCATGACTTGTATCGGACATTGTAGAGGTGGAGTTTGGAGGATCAGCAAAATATCCGCAGTTATTATAGGTATACCCAACACAAGGCAGCCAAGACAGGCTGGGCCTTTTTCGAAGTGCCAAGAGTGTGTCTTGGCCAGCATTTGATAAGTGCTATGTATGACATATAGTTTCCTCGGCATTGCTATCTGGACTATGTAAGTATGTGACTATGGAATATTGGAAGCCCTTCTAGTCTTCTGCGTAACATACATATTGCGTTGAGCTGAAAAAACCAGGTAAGCATCGAATAATCGTCGACGTTCCTCCTTCCGGTGAACCATTAACCGCGGATCCCACTCTACGGCTTGGATTCCGTCAAGCGCATACTTTATCGCTGGTCAAATTCGTCTGCGACAGATATAGGGAATTTTCGCAACAAGAAGATGCGAATAAGAAATTAAAGCCTCCCGGATGATTGTTGGTGTGGTGGAAAACAAGCGGCAAAATTCGGCAGTCTGTGCGTGGAAGAACTTTACCCCCGTGACTACTGACATAGCGCGACGCGTTGTCCCTGCTGTCAACTCCAGCACTGCTCAGTGGATTTGTTTCAACAAATTGACCTTTAGATTGCCCAGTGACTAGGCAAGAAATAATGGCTGCTATCTCCTCATTCGCTAGGCATGGGAAAAAGGTATGTCCCTGTGTCATTATGTATGCCCCTCTGTCATCCGCCTCGTCCACAATCTGGGTCCCACATGTTCTTAGTATTGTTATGTTCAACGCCACAATTTCTCATTTCCCGGGGACTCAGTATCATGATCCTCATACCCCGTGAAGCTCCCAGGCAAAGGAACTCAATGTTGGATGTTTCTACCTTCCTAAGCTACTTTTCGCCAATGAAATTGAACTCAGAGCTTGTTTTGACGGCCTTCCGCAATTCCCTGGTACAATTACCAATCTTTCATATATCCTCATCTTGCTTCCAGTCCAATCTTAAAAGCTAACCTGTTCATCTCCAGATCGTAGCTATCGGCAGAAACTATGCCGAGCACATCAAGGAACTATCGAATACGACACCCAAAGAGCCGTTCTTCTTCCTCAAGGTATGTATTACTACTTTACTCATTCTCTTCGTTTATTTTTCCGGCCTTGGTTGCTCTGTCAGCTATTGTTCCTTGAATCTGCGTCTGCCCATATCGTTATACTACTCGTTCAGAGTCATTTCCAATTTCCGAACTATCAATTTTTTCTATACTTCCAGTCCAAATATTATTAAACTCTTCGACGTTTCTGGTAACTCCGCTTTATTCTCTTGACCTTTCGCTTCAATCAAGTAAAGTTCATAACCTTTTGTTATCTCATTCCTTCACATGACGGTCTTTTCTACCGACAGTTTTATCTCGCCTGCTTACTCGGTGCCTATCCTGCTTGCCATCTTATCGAGGGTAAAATGACTTTTGGGGGCATTCCTTGCTTTTCGTCTGTGCCTTTAACCTTGAATTGTTGGTGGCTTGTGTCCTTGGGATATGTTTTGGGTCATGTCGTCCTTTTGGATGGGGCCTAGAAGTGCTTGTTCATGTTTAGCCAAGCTTGCTTGGCTTCAGCTCTGTATTTCATGATAAGGAGCACATGTTGGCATGATCGGAAATTCAATAGACAGAGCCTGTACGGTACATTCATCATTCGTGGCGCGTATATTGGACACTCAATTTCTCAGTCTTGTACCATCCTTTGAATAGTTGTTCAACTGACAACCACTGGTCTCTAGCCCACAACCACTTACTTACCGTCCGGAGGCAAAGTTGAAATCCCAAACGGAATTCTTTGCCATCATGAAGGCAAGTGCAGCTTATTCTATCTTGCTGCTGCCACAGATTCTTGCGAGCCCCAAAAATGATCGTAGACTGATATATATACATATATATAGTGGAACTTGGACTTGTAATTGGCAAGCGCGGTCGAGATATATCCCAAGCCAACGCAGACTCTCATATTGCTGGCTATGGTGAGTTTCCGTAATGCATAGCAAACGCCGATATTAACTATCTGGACGCTGGGGTAGCTTTAGCGGTTGATATGACGGCCCGAAATCTCCAAGAGCAGGTGAAGAGTAAAGGACTACCGTGGAGTGCTGCGAAAGGTTTCGATACTTTCACGCCTATAGGGTAAATGTTCTCTTCTAGAAGTTCCAAGCTTGTCGTTGGCGCCTCTTGTTCACATCCCTCATTCTTGATTTTCCATTCTTCCTTGTGAAATATGAGGGAGAAGCCTCTAAAGTGTGTGACTGACTGTAGTGTCTCACCAGGTCATTTATCCCGAAATCGGACGTCAAGGACCCTCACGATTTGAGGCTCTGGCTAAAGGTGAATCGTGTACCATAATCCATTCAACGCGTATCTGAACTCTAAATCAATCGACTCTAGATTAACGGTGCTTTCAAACAGAACGGTACCACTTCAGACATGATATTCCGGATCCCAAGACTCATCGAGCATATTTCATCTATCATGACACTGGAGGAAGGGGATTTAGTTTTGACAGGAACTCCTGCGGGTGTGGGTCCGATCAACGCTGGAGATGTAATAGAGTGTGCGCTCTCTGACGGTGAAGGGAAGAATTTGGCGAAGCTTAATTTCGGTGTTGTGGATCGGGAAGGAGGGTATCAGTTTAAACCTTAAAGTATATATGTACAGAACCCAGTATTTGCGAATTCCTAGCTATCTCGCAATGGCGTTCATAACTGGTATAGCGTGTGCCCCATGGCTGAGTTGGTTACAGCGTCCGACTGTTATATAGCATCATCGGAAGGTCGAGAGTTCGAGCCTCTCTGGGGCAGATACTTTTTGTTCTTAATCTATCCGCTTGTTATTGTATTGTTGTAACATAGTACATCTGTTAATTGACAGTTTGCTCTTAAGTTTATTGTATTTATCACCATGCACTTGTATCCTTTTGTATCTGGACAAGTCCCAAGTTCTATGAAATGAGTTCAAACCGTAATGGGCATGCAGGTAGTCGTATTAAGAGTGATGAGGCGTGATGAGACGTATGAGGTTGGTACGTGAAGGGGACATTAGAACATGCAATGAAGGTCGGTGTAAGAGGTAAATTTAATATGGGTATGCGAAGAAGGAAAGGTGGACAAATCAGGAAGGGCATAGTGAACTTGATTCAAGGGTGATTAGGAAATGTTTCTAAGAGGTATATGTACTCCGAAGCCAGTCAATAATCAATGATATTGAACGGAGTAGTAGAAAGTATGCGTGTTACAACGGATAGGTCCTAGAAAGGTTCAGAGTGAAAAAATACAATATGTGGAGTACACGGCGAGGGACAAAAGAAAATGGAACTGTAGCGGAACGGAAGGAAGAAAACGGAGATTAAACTCGGTGATCGCTCGATATGGAGCGGAAGCAAATAGACACAGAATGGGCTTAAGCGGTGGTCGGGCTTACAGACTACTGCTCCGGGATTTATGATGCTTCGTGGTAGATCGCGAGTGAGACTTGGAGCGTCGCTCGCTATAGTGTTTGCTACTTCGTTCACGATCCCTGTCACTGTCGTGTTCGTAGTAGCCAGCGTGATACGAGCTCTTGCTCTGGCTCCGTCTGCTACCGGTAGGACTGAGGGGACTTTGACCAGGGGAAGGACTGGAGCTGCGAAAACCGCTGAAGAGTTTACCAAACCAGCGTTTTGAAGGTGTTGGCGGTTGAGACTGGTATACCGGATACTGCGAGCGAATTAGAATAGTACACAACATTATCTGATGGAACGGATTCGAAAACAAAGTACGCACCATGGCACGAGAAGCTCCCACTCTGGGATCGTAAATCATTTGCGGTGAATATCCATATCCTCCAATAGTGTTAGAACGCCTTGGAGGTTGAAAAGGGCGTTGTGGCGGAAGTGGAGGCGGTGGCGGTGGGGGAGGTACGGCAAAGGTATGAGACCGCTGTGGGGGTGCATACTGCCTAGCAGGTACTGGAGTGGAGACTGGGTACGGATACACTGTCTGAGGATATTTGGTGTATTGTTGAGGCTGAGCATAGATTTGGGACGTCTGCTGGTATTGAGCCTGCGACGACGACGAATGGTGAGCAGAAGAGCTGGAGGAACCTCTAGGAGGAGCTGTATAAGATCTATGAGGGCTGTGTCGAGTATAAGACGTATCCGAGCCTGGTAGCCTTGCAGAGCGCGGTGCAGGCGAACTGACGAAAGGATTCGCAAGCTCGTATTTCTCTGTGTTGTGAACCCATTTTCCAATGCTTTGCAGCTTCGCCTTGTATCTTTCCTGAGCTTCTGGGGAGTAGTCGTATTCTGTCATAGTGGTAGGTGGGTGGGGAGTGAAGGAAAAGTATATGTGGCGCAGGAAAGAGTTTTAAAGGAAGATACAATAAACGGATATCAGAGAGCCGTCGAAGCCTTCCTAAAGTAGTGGCATGGAAGGAAACTTTAGAAAAAAAATAATAAATGCTTCCGACTGAGGCACGTGTACCTCAAAGGTCACGGCTCCTCGGCCCGAGACATTCTTTCCTTCAACCGCTAGTTGTTTGAGGGCCCTCAGTACTCAGTCCTCACCATGATGTGCTCTTTCGGGTGTTTCGTCTCAGGACGCTTTGAACGGAGTTTTACTCTTCAGCCCACCCTGATTCCAGCATTCATTCTTGGATTCTTTCTTGAATTGTGGCATTTGTTCTTCACTGAAGTCCATTCGTGCTGTGGGTCCTGATAATCTTTTATACACCCTCGCTGATGGACAAGATATCTTTTTGTATTCATTCGTAACAGCCTTCTTTTTTATCAGGTAAACCATCAACAATTGATCTACTTGAGGGGTTCCACTTTTGTCATGGACCCTCCAACCTTGTTCCTTCAAGTTGTGAGGGGCAGGATATTGTTGGTAGAATCTGTCATCCACATTCGCTCTGCAGTCGCTTCCGCTGCTGCGATCATGATTTCATCAGTAAGATATTGTTACCACAGCTCGAAGGCCGCCACGATGGTGAGTAAAAATTCGTCCCTTTAATCTCCCAGATATGTATACACAGACAGCGTGCCTACGGTCCATTTTGAGGACACTTCTTGTTTGCTGATTGTGAAATAGAATTATGGAGCATCGTTCAAGTCAAATCAGTCGATAATGCCTTTTCTATTTATGAAAAGTGTACTAACGCACCTAGATAGACCTAGATCGTATCCCTTTATCTGATCTCTTTGAGGTTCCTATTAAAGGTACCCACTTTACGGGTAATGCCGCGTGAACTGAGCTACTACTACTGACTACACGCTTCACCAGCAGAATTGCAATTGCTCGCTACGTCAAGGGTGCATATCGTTCCAAGGAAGCGCACAGTGGATTCAATTGATCAGACACTTAACGGATCTATCTCTATATCTGACACGGAGCCAGAGATTGCACTGGGACGTACGCATGCGTTACGATAGTAAACATGAAAACAAGATTCGAGCTGGTGCTAACGTATCTCATGATCATTATAAGGGCAAGTGAGTATATGTTCACTATGACGAGAGAACCAGATACCACTAATAATGAGAGGAACTACTATGTCTTGGAGGCTTACTATAATCCTAGTCAACCAGCTTTGTCTCAAGCATGGATGCAAGGGCACCGGTCAAAGCTGACATAGCAACTTGATTAGGATATGTCAGGGCCATGTAACAGTCCTGGAAACATCGGATACATATATTTTTCAGAAACAAAAACAATTTCGAGGGTACATAGGGGTATATCTATAGCAACTGTCGAGCTGGTATCAAAACGATGTCTTTCCGAAAATTTCGGTAAAAACATCTTGAGTCACTGTAAACACAAAATCCAGCGTAAACACAATCGGCCGCAACATCCAAACACACTGTTCTCGCGGGTAAATGGAAGAGTCAACGAGGGGTCGCGAAGTTAGAAGGAGAATTCATATTCATCATACAAAAAACATTAAAAGAACAACTCACCCACTGACGGTACATTGATGTATATGATCCAAACTGCGTTTCGCAGGATTTTTGCTGAGAGAAAGTGGGTCGATATATCCACTCATTACATGCTGAGGTCTTGGTTCGGTCCTGATGAATACGGGAGTCTGTCGATTACGATATGCTTTCGAAAAATGGACGTTTGGGTGATGCCATAGATATGGGTAATACGGTTCGCGATGAAGCTGGTTAAGATCGTCGACCACAGGGAACTCATCACGATTGAAAAGCGTCGCAGATGACGGGTTTCCCAAGCCTGAGCGATAAGGATGCTGCAGACATTGTTCAGGATATGAACGTAAATAAGGGTATAGCGTCGGATTCGGATCTAGTGAGGGCTGGGTTGAAGCTGGATAAAGAGGATGTCGTTTAGCATGTACATAAAGAATCAATTACAAAGTGTAGAACACACGAGGCAGCGTAGGGAAGGACGTATTACTTGAACTAGTTGAAGGTTTGAACTCCTTTAACAGAAAATTTAGACTTGTGCCTGAGAGACTCGATGTGAGCAAGCGATATTTGCTATGAAGATTGAATGGTGCACATACTAGAATCTGTGTCAGGATGCAGATTTATCAAGTGCGTCTGGGAGGTCTCGGGAAGTTGCTCGTGGTCTCCGTGAGGCATGACGGTCTGAAAGTGATGAATACACAACCGGAAATTAGTGGAAGCTTAACTATTAATTTACGCCCCTTCGGATATTCTAATCGATCGGAACAAGTAAATGCAACCAAGCATAAACCCGTAGTGAGGTACTTACTCGTTGCAAATTGGTTGTAAAGGTCGGAACAAATGATCGTTACGCAGGTGACGCCAGGGTGACTATGATGCTGATCTCTACTAGTCTCCAGACTCCGGGAAGCGATTCTCCCACTCATAATTCACCAATCCTGAGGACCTGGCCATGTATATACATAGGTGCAATCAATGTACATGTAGCATCACCGGTCTTGAGATTGGACCGACGCTCCATGTCTATGGAAAAGAACATCACAAAGAGCTTTAACGTGCCAGTTTCGCAAGTCTTTCCAAAGTCCGTGCAGCATTCAAATAAAGATACTTGTAACAGGGTGTCTCATGCGTTCTACTCAACCTTCTCCTTTCCACCGTCTTTCCCGACACCCCACCTCCCCAATAACATATTACCTCTGATCACTCCTAGATCCCTCAACATCCCTAAACTCGCTTTTACGACGTTCAGTTTGCTACCTCCAACCTCGTGCCATTGGACATCTACCTCTCGCACAGGGATATTCTGTGCTTTAGCGAGCAATAGTAGTTCGACATCGAACATCCACGATGGGAGGTGCTGGTATGGAAACATTTTGCGAGCGGCAGGTCGGGAGAATAGTTTAAACCCGCATTGGGTATCCCGGATGTGACCTACACCGACAATGAGGAGGAGGGTATGGAGACAGCGCATTAGCATGTTACGAATAAAGGATCGCTGAATGCAAGTAACTGTGAGTTCTTCCGAGAACGAGAAAAGAGACTGAGAAAGGACTGACTTTGACCACAGCTTCTGTCTTGACCATATGAGCACGACTGCCAACAACTACTCCTTCACCCGCGTCATCTCCACCGGTAATTTCGTCCATGCCCTCCCATAGACGCTCGAGGTCTTGGAAACGACTGGCACCGTCAGCGTCAACCATCAAAAGTTGTTGGCCCCCACTATACAGCATTCCATGCCTCACTGCGGCGCCTTTGCCTTGGTTTAACTCCATCTTAACCACTTTTATGTCAATATTTGGGTATTTGGACCGAGCGAGGGCTAGCGAAGCATCACTGGTACCATCAGTCGACCCGTCGTCAACGATCAGTACTTCGAATGTCCGTGGTCGT